AGTCTAGCTGCAGGGGGAATTCCAGTTAAATACTTGTTAAATACTAAAATTTTGCTGTTGATATAAAACCAGTTGGCTATTTGTATATCAGTCCATAGTAACGGTAAAAATATAAATTTCAAAGGAATTTGATTTTCCAACAAGTTTTGTTTAACTGCGTGGATAGCCTAGTGGTTAGAGATAATCAGTGCGGTGCGTGAGGTCTGATTCTCACATAAAGAAAATAATATTTATTTTTATTTTCATTTTATTTATTGGATGAGTGCTTAAGTTCGTGCCCGATTCCGCTGGATGCCGTTCGAATCGCTAGAGAGTGGCGCTCGTGAAAGAAATATATACATATTACATATCTTCGGAAAGGTGACAGTCCGAACTATAAATCAAACATAAAATAACTTCATTTGATTTGAGTTGCTTAATGAAAAGACGCATGGAAGATGGACAACGAAAAAGATCATATGCGTCATATTATGTATACGAATTCCGCAAAGGAAAAACAGGAGGCGCTGCAACTAAAGATATTCGCGAAGTTTATTTGGACCGTGCTCCAGCACTCCGCACAGTAAAGAAATGGTTCGCGAAATTTCGTTCTGGAGATTTTAACATCGAAGATCAACCTCGCAGTGGACGGCCGTGCATTTGGAGGGATATCCGAGGCGTGATCTATTTTGAGCTCTTGCCAGCTGGAGAAACGATCACTGCCAACAAGTATTGTCAGCAATTGGTCGAATTGAAGAAAGCGATTGATGAAAAACGTCTGATTTTGGCCAATCGCAAAGGAGTTCTTTTCCATCATGACAACGCCAGGCCACATGTTGCAAAACCGACCCTGGCCAAACTGAAGGAGACGAATTGGGAAATCATGCTGCATCATTCATATTCACCCGACATTGCACCTTCTGATTATCATTTGTTTCAATCGCTGCAAAACAATTTGAATGGAAAAAATTTAAAAATGTGGAAGACCTCAAAAACCACCTTGACACCTTTTTCAACGAGAAACCGCGCGATTTCTATGAATCAGGCGTCTGTAAATTGGTTGAACGTTGGGAGTGGATTGCGAATACATAATTGATTAATAAAAGCGCTTTCTTCAAAAAATTTCAATTTTAGTTTGCACTTGAAATCGGGCACGAACTTATGCACTCATTCAATATAATTTTTTATTTTAAGTATAATTTCAGCATACCTAAATACAACTAGTATGGAGCTGATGCGTAGTCGGACAATTCTCAGTAGGACATCGCTCTGTTAAAAATACCCGTTGATTAAATGGGAAATAAATGAAAGATGAACTTTTTGTTGTTCGCCTCAAATTGCATATCAGTTGGATTCTAGTTAACAAATAGTATTTTTCCTTTAGAGGGCAGTACTGCTGATAAATATATTAATTGAACAATATATTCTAATCTTATCTTTGATGGCTGTTGTTTACATTACATTATATAAATCAGCGTCAAAAATCACGCAGGTCAAAAAATGTAATATGGATATAAATTCTTTTAATCTCCTATGATTAACACACTACAGCACTCCAAACATATTTAAATCCATACCACAGATACAAGTAGGCAAATGAATATATTGTATTTGTACATATGTCTATTGGACTTTGTGGTTATAATCTGCCTTGTAGTAAATGCCAACTAAGTCGCTCGAGTGTTTACTAATGGCAGAAACTTAATGTACCATATATAACAGCTGTAAACATATACAAACACATATATATGTATATACTTATTTCTAGTATATATGTCAGTATTGTAGTGCAGTGATAAACAAAACGAAAATAAGAACAAACACATTGAGCTAATTAGAAAGTGATAAATTCTATTTTAAATTTTACGCCACAATGAGTTTGTTGGCCTATTAGCTGGAATGGGTATCTGGTAGTGTGTTAGGCATTTATCAAACCAAACAAACTATATTTAGCTCTAGCGTACAATTGTTTAAATGGAAGGAAGTTGTGTTGCTTGTATAATTTAAAAATCTTTGTTGCATTATAGTTATTTATTTATTTTTCAAATCTCCGATTTTTTTTGGGGTAATTTTATAATATTTATCTACTTACAAAAATTTAAGAATAGGAATGCTAGTTCGACCGATATCCGAAATTAATATTCGTAATTGCGTTCGCCCCAAAGCAGGGGAAGTCGGTCCTTCCAGTTATATTCCTGACATGAAATAAAAGCTTCTCATAAAAATTCCTCACAGTTTTGAGGCGGATTAAAGTAAACTGCAGCCCCCAACAAGGCACGCGCCACAAATAATGGGAGGAGTTCAGTTGACAAAGCGTCAATTATAGATGTAGATCTATTCTATATGCTATCTTATTTGGTTATATTCTGATTTACAAAATTTTGTATTATTTTGTGTTATTTGAATTCTTAAATTTTATTTTAATTTATTTTCATTAATTATTATTTTTTTTTTCAAGTTCAAGTTATTTTTTTAATTTATTTATTCACTTTTATTTGGTTTTATTCCAATTTATTTAATATTACTTCGTTTAATTTAGTTTTAATTCTCGTATTTTATTTATTTTATTAATTTTAATTTAATATAATATTTTTTTTTATATTATTATATTATTATGTTAATTCAGTTTATCTCATATTTTTTTGCCATACTTTTTTTTTAATTTATTTCATTTTATTATTTGATGTGAATTTGATTCATTTATTTTTTTTTTTCAAATTAATTAATTAAATTTGATTCGATTTCATTTTATTCTATTTTATTTTGTATAAATTATTTTATTTTCCTTAAATTTTCTTTATTTTATTTAGTGCTACCAAACTTCTTTTGTTCAGTTTTATTTTTATTCTTTAAAATATATTTAAACAAATTTAAATTTCTATTCCATTTTATTTTGCTTTATAATATTTTATTTTAATTTAATAAACTTTATTTCATTTTATTTCATTCTGTGTTTTTAATTTATTTTATTTTAGATTATTTTACTTTTTGTTTTCTTTTCCTTCCTTTAATTTAATTTAATTTCCTATTTTAGTTTGTTTAAATTTAACTCATTTTATTTCGCTTCCTTTTATTTTATTTCATTTTCTTTTATTTTTATTTTGATTTACTTTATTTGATTTGATTTCATTTTGTTCCAATATATTTAGCTTTACTTTATTTCATTTAATTTTAAGTTATCTTGCTTTATGTTATTTTTTTGATATTATTTTATTTTATTTTGATATTATTTCATTTTTTTAATTTTTTTAATTTATTTTATTTTATTTTATTTTATTTCATTTTATTTTATTTTATTTTATTTTATTTTATTTTATTTTATTTTATTTTATTTTATTTTATTTTATTTTATTTTATTTTATTTTGTTTTATGTTAATTTATTTCATTTTTCATTTTCTTTTATTTTATTATAATTTTTTTAATTCAATTTTATCTAATTTTTTCTTTGTTGTACATATTTTTTTATTGTCCTTTTCTAAACAAAATAAACGTTGGGTTTTTAAAAATATGCATTGAAAATATTGTACATTTTTTTCTCTGTGTTGTAGTTGTTCTTGCCGCCAATAATACTACATAAATATTCTATTAAACTCTCTTAATCTGTTAATCTGCCTACGTTGCCGTAGAGGTATTTATAATATAAATCGTATGTCTAGTGATCAATTCTCTTCAGTAAAGAGAAAAAATATTTTTGAAATCAGAGAAAACATTATCAAACAGTTTGGTATGCAATGAGTCGCATTTGAATGAAATTTTTGGAAAAAATACACTGTTAGTGAAACTGTTGAATTTTGTGTTGGAAAATGCTGAAATTGCACGCTTTCCACACTTTGTAGGCGGTTGCTCGGGAAGCAAGTAGGTTACAGTGAACACGCGCGATCGAACTCTAAACATGCGTGTGTTGTTTATTTATTAAATTTCTGTCCAAAGCGAAGTAAAGGAAGGTGAAAGTAAAAAAAAAATAAAAAGGGAATATAGTGTTAAAGAAAATTGTAGTGAATATAAAAGTGATCGCGAATCGGCCTTTTAAATCAAATACATTTGTACACACGCGTATATTTCAAATAAAAGTGTAGTGACTTTCAAGTGTTTTGCTTCTTCTCCAGCTGTCACGCATGATTGCTGTGCATATTTATTAAAGAAAAAACATATAATTTGTTTGCTAATTTTGAAAATGTGTCATTGAATAATCTGTGTATGACAATCAAAATGAAAAACATATCAAGTACAAATGTTGATGTTAAACTGACAGCCTCTTTTGTCTTAAATTTTTGTGTTTTATTCTAAGTTTACAAACTTTTGCAAATTGTTTATTCATAATTTTATAAATTTATGTGCGCACAAATTAGCGCCGGTTTCTGAGATTAAACACAAAACAAATGTAACCAAACTGACAAAAGGTCTTTAAATTATATTTAAATTTATTTTTATTTTAGTTTTTATATTTTGTTGCGTGACTTTGGATTTGAATTTTTATATTTCCTTTTTAGTTTTATGAATGCGTTCAACTTTTTGTTTACACCTACGTTTCCTTTGATACTTTTTATTGCGCTCTAATTAAAGTTATTTTTTTCTTTTGTTGTTGCTGACTTTTTTTTTAAATCAATACGTTTGGTCGCTGCACTGCTTTGTTTATTATTTCTTTCCTTGAAAATTACCTACTAAATCGAAGAAAAACAGAACACAAGTAAATATTTTTTTAGAAAAGACCGACCAACAATTCAACACGGAAACTTACTAATGCAACGGTAAAAAAAAAAACGTAGAAAAGGCAGAGTGATAGCGGAAACAGAAATACAAATACTCACTTTTTATATTTGAGCAACTCGTGCTGTATTCAGTTGGATTTCATTATTTTAGTAGTTCAGTCTGATCAAATTCGCAACTTCTTGCCTAAAGCGAAAATTTTAAGTGAATTTCTAAAATGTGCAATAATTTTTAAAATAGAAATAAATATTGTGTTTGCAAAATAACTCAATACATACGTATTTGTATATGTTCATATATGTATAAATACATAACCATTATAAGCGCAAACTTTTCTGTGTGTATTTGCATCCATTTCCAAGACTTTTATTATAAAATCTATTTCTGTATGGAGAAACTGTTTTTATATGTTTACAATTACAAGTGTGTGTTTGTGTGGTTTGATGTAATGAACTGTCAACGTGCGGATAAGACATTAAATCATATGTGACCGACGTACACGTAATTCCTCAAAACAAACCAGAAAACAAATTATTTAGGCAAATCTGAAAAATAATTGCCAACATAAAAATCTAAAATAAAAGCAAGGAGTGTTTTTGTTTTCAAATAATATTATAATTGTTTTCAATATTGAAGTACACAAACATGAACATGGATATAATACAAGAATTGCGGGAAATGGGTAAGAATTATTTCAATTTATATATTGATTAATAATATTAGTAAAATATTGCGAGAACTACACTTAGCTCAGTGCACTGAGTATTGTTTGTGTTTGAGGTCTCTGCTTACTACATTCATCCACTGAAATATTAATTTTCAATTGGTTTTGCCTTTAAACAAAATGCATAATATAATATTTTTATGAGGAAAACATGTGCAATATAATACAGAGTTTTCCAATATGAGGCGTTATTTTGATATTCAAAGAAACAGGACCATATCCTTTCTATGAAGATTCCCATCACCAAATCGCAAATTGGCTGCTGTATGCCACCAATTGCTTCAAGAACTCCATATTTTAGGTCTTGAATCGACGTTGGCCTGTTGGCAAAAACCTTATATTTTCCTTGCAACCAAAGAAAGACGTCGCAAGGAGTTAAATATCAAGAAATTGGTGGAAAATTGTTGATAGTATCATTGCCTGTGTGGCACGTAGCGGCGTGTTTATGAAAGTAAACGTGGATCTGGAAGATCAATACCATTCAATTCCGGTTGTATATAATCATTATTCATTCCTCGATAGCGCAATCAATTCACCGTAAATGTTGCTCTATCCATCCTATGAGTTTTTCTTCCTTCTTTATTGGCGTTGATAGCGCTTACGCGATTATAGCCGAATCAATTATAGCGCGCCATTCATCTCTTCTTATCGCTGTTTGGCGCCAGTTGGAAATACCAAGTGAAGCCGGATCCAACAGAGTGGAGGTTTTCTTCTTCCTCTGCTTCCACTAGCGGGTACTGCATCGAATATTTTTAAAATGGAGTGCTTTGATCTATTCAGACGACATGTCCTAGCTAGGAGAGCCGCCGTCTCTTCATTCGCTGAACCATCTCAATATCATCATATACAATACATACAGGCTCGTACAGCTCATCGTTCCATTTTCTGCGGTATTCGCCGTTGCCAACTCCTAAAAATCATAAATCGTTCGCAAAACTTTTCTCTCGAAGTCTCCTAAAGCCGACTCATTAGTAATAGTAGGACGGCTATGAGGAGCGACTTGTAGAGTTCGTTTTTGGTTGACCGCGAGAGGACTTTACTTTTCAATTGCCTACTCAGTCCAAAGTGTTGTTGGTGTTAATACTGGTTCCTAGATAGACGAAGTTATCTATGACTTCAAAATTATGATTGTCAACAGTTACGTTGGAGCCGAGTCGCGAATGCCATGACTGTTTATTTGATAACGGGAGATATTTCGTTTTGCTCTCATTCACTACCAGACCCATATCTTTCGCTTCCTTACCGAGTTTGGAGAGAGCAGAATCAACGAGACGGTTGTTAAGGCCAAGATATCGAACGGCTTGGAGGGTCCTTCGCGATTCTGACGGAGGTTTTTTAGTTGCTTAACTTCAGTTTACACAGCCGTACAAGTTTTGCTGGACTACAAATTCAGACATAGTGGCGTAGACGCAGCTCTTGTGGTGTGTGTCAATTCTCTTTTCAGGGGTATTTTGAATATATGGTCAATGGTTGGCTTACCAGGTCTGTATCCTCACTGATGAGATTCAATGAGTTTGTTGACGGTGGGCTTCAGTCTTCCACCCAATACGTCCCATGACCTCGGCGATCCATAAATCGCATCAAACAGTTACATGTTTAGCATGGGTAGGCTTTTTCATAATAAATTGTGGGTTTTTTGAGCCTCAGATATGACAGTTTTCCTTATTGACATAGCCATCTATGTGGAAATGCGCCTCATCAGCCCAAATGATTTTTCGAAGGAACTTCGGATCATTTTCATGCATTTCAAGGTCACAATCAGCAAACACACGACCTTGTTGATGATCAGCCGGCTTAAGTTCTTGTGTTAATTGAACTCTATAAGCCTTAAGACCTAAGTCTTTAACAAAATACAGTGGAATGAGGGTTGTGGAATACTCGATACCAAAGGACGACCCGGAAGGGGCAAATCCGAATCCAACAGCTAAAATGTCTGTGTCGCGGTCCGAAAGATTAAAAAATGTTTTAGTTTTATGAATCATTTCTGCCGGGTTTTCACCATTTTTACAGCCTTTTTTTTTAAAACGTTGTTGAAGCATGTATCGCCCCTTTTTATTATTGGCGTAGAGTTTAATTGTTAAATATTAAAAAACTACAGCGACAAAAGTGACATCTGTCAGGATTCTAAGCGAATAGCCGAAAAACAGCTCTTATTGGAAAATACTTTACAAGCATACAGCATTGCCATGCCTATATCTGGAAGAGCCAGGAAGAAAAAGCCAGAATACTAAGAAAACTGAGACGTATCTGCCTATTCAAACCCGAGACATACTATACCCGAGCTTGCCGTAGAGAATCCATGACAAAAACAACAGACGAATGCTAATACATAAAGAAAGTACTAAGAAAAAAACAGAAATTGGAGCTAAACACTGACCACTGGAGCTTGGCTAAAAAGTGGTACGGGGAAAACTTGGTGGAAAGTCCTTTATGTATGAACTGGAAGAAAAAAAACAGCCGGCAATATCAGAAATAACCTCTCCCTACATACGGGGAGCGTATCGATGTAGATGGGAAGCTAAAGAAAAAGAGCTCCTTGCCACCGCAGTACGATTAAAAAAATAGGAAGCAACCAGACTAGACAAAATACGGTCTTAGTTACTAAATAGCTACGTCATATCCTGAGCTTTTCATCAAAATATATATAATACGTGTGTCACGGAATGGATATTTCGGGAATTCCGATTTCCTCTCATCATACTGACCACTGTGCATGTTAGACACCGTGGGGAAACCCTTCAAAAGGTTGTTAAAACCTTGTCTAACAATTGTTATCACAGCTACTGCCATACTATCAGCGAGATAACATAGTTTCAAATTTCGACTTACTAAAGATTGATCATAGAGAGCTCTCTGTGCAAGCCCTAAGTCATTTGTGAGATAAAACACTAAGTTCGGCGGAAAATGCTGACATCCGAAGTAGCACCGGGCCCTATTCTTAGTACCGATTTCTGGAACCCCAGCATGTAATACTATGTATGTACATTCCCGATGACACTTATCTCACCGGTTATGCAGATGGTGTGGAAACCGACATATGAGGAATATACGGAGAAAACTGATCAACTGATTCTAACAGCAAAGCAAACACCGCTCTGGAAGTTGTTTTGAGTATATTCGGCGAGACCGTTAAGAAGAGAGAAGGCTCGTAACTATGAGTAATATAGAACGCCACCCTTTTGTAATATAAAAGTTATTCCAAGGGGGTTCGCCGATTCCACTATGTGAACTCTTTTACATAAAAGATTGTGCAGTCTATTAAGTTTTACAGCTCTTATCAGTTTCTCCAGTATCAAATTGAAGAAATCACACAATGAAAGTCACCTCGTCTGAAACCTACTTCGGTACTGAACGGCTCGGTGTGGTCCCTCTCAACTCGGACTGCGCTTCTGGTATTTTCCAGCGCCGCTTAAAGAGAGAGCTACTTATTACGCTACCAAGGGCTGCCTTACTATCGATGGAAAGGTGATGTGTATCGATTCCTTTTCACGGATCTTTTACAAAGATTTGACGCGTAGTGATAAGGTCCAACCCTTAAATACGAAGTAACCTATACATATTGTGGTTCAAAGTGCAATAATTTGGGGCAATAAAATTTCTAATTTCAATTTCGACGAATGGTTCTTAAAAAAACCAATTCTTTGCTGATTTTTCAGATTTAAAATTTCAAATGTAGCGAACTACAATGCATTTCTGCTGTATTATTTTTTGTTTGCCAATGTATTCCATTAAATTTCCTTTGAGAATGCGTGTTGGAAGCGTAAAATGCAAGCTGCAAAGCGAAAGTAGACGCTGAGATAAACAAACTGATCGATGGCTGCCAAGTTTATGATAGACTGATTGGCTGAAATTTTGTACATACAAACTGAAGGTGAATCACTTTCACAGACCAAACGAAAAACTTACATCAAATTGAAAGGCATTAGTTGAATATAGGCATTAATTTAATGGGGAAGGTTACATAAACTTTCCACTCTTCAATGAGCGTTTACAATGTTTTTCTCTAGGTCCTTCACAATATATGTCTTTATACAATGGTTCTTCTTCAGGGACCGTGCTATATTTATATAAATTTCCTCTAGATAACTTTGGAGCTATTCTTTTATAAAGAAATATTTTTTTATTAATTATAAAAATTAAATTCAAATAAATTAAAACTATACATCGAGTGACACCTCCAAATAACCTACTGAGTAACCAACGAGCCTGCCTTAAAGGAAAATCTGTAGGCACCGCTCTTCACAACATTGTCACGAGGATTGAGAGAGGTCTCGTCAAAGATGAACTAGGAGGCGCATTAGTTATCAGGTATGTAAATGGAGCCAACCCCACACCTCGTGGCATCCCACAGGCTGATAATACTATAATTACGGTTTGCGATACAGGAGCTAACGCTGATGACATTGCCCGCATATCGACTGTAAAGCACCTCCAGATTCTAAATGATCTCCTTCAAAGTGCCACTCCCGCAGTAAGAAGCTGCTGCAGTGAATACCGTGGGGAAGTAAACCTTTCCCTGGAAGGTATCTGCCTTTAAACCATTCTCAAAGTCCCCTCCATCTATAAAAGTCTATCTACTGAGATTAAACACCTAGACGGAATCTTAAACAGCAAGCTCATTTGTTACCTGAAGACGGCATAAAGAAATAAGAAAGCTCACATCGCACTCTATGACTGCAAAGCAGCGATTGGGAAGAGATGGAGATTCGAGACAACATGTTGTGCACAGGCTATACAAAGCGGTAATATGATCCATCCTATTCTACAGAGCCACTGCCAAACCTATACGGAAAACTCCATGCAAGCTGCAACCGTATAGGACACGCGCAAATTCTAAACTCCACATCACTCTTAGAAGAGGCTGACCACACCAATTCCGTCTGTTCTTTCGACAAGACTTTCTCAACCAAAATCCCCGAGAGGAACGAGTGGGGAAATGCTGCAGTTCTGAATCATAG